CTGAAACTGGGAGCCTGAACAGAGAAACTGAACTAAAATTCTAAACTCAGAACATGAACTAAGAGCTTAAAATTCGAGTCTGAACTGTAAGCATGAACTAATGACATGAACCGCGAGCATGAGCTCAGAACCTGAAAATTATTTTATCATCATTGAGCGATAAATTTGACAATAATGGATCAATGTGTTAGCATGCTTTATCGAGATACGAAGCACGAAACTACGGTTTTTTCATTTCGGAGCATTGTACTTGACTCACTAAGAAATAGAGAAATACCAGCCACAAAAACTCGAGGAAAAGCAAAAACACAGAACGATAAGTACACGAAGAAGGAAAACGAAACTTACTGCTGCAATGACGCGGGAAACGAAGCTCATCACCGTTACGTAGCGTAACCCAACCTCACAAGGTAACGAAGAAGATTGAATGTGAAAGCAAAAAAGCAGAAACAAAGGAACTATATTTGCATATAGCGCGAAATAAGAGCGTGCAAATTTCACATCACTGAAAGGGGGGTTACGTCACCGAAAAAACAACAACGGAAATATGATCATAACTGTAACGTCTTGAATTACATCTGTTTAAAGCAAATCCTGGTCACTGTACGTGTAACTAATTTTCATTTCCATGATTTGCAAATGTTAGGAGTACCACTTAAAATGCCCAGCCCTCAATAAAAATATAGAAATAAAAATTAAACAAATCCTATAAGATCTAAGCGCTTGCTAATTATATACCTCCTCGTTTGTGTTTTTTTGTCAGGTTTGTTAGCGTTTTTCTTCGTCAGTTACACCTTCTTCGCACGTTTCTCATGATACCGCACGTTACTTCGCCTCGCGCTTAATCACTTTTCAAGTCAGTGTACCTAAAGTCGCCCTGGAAACCACGCCACTGAATGAAAATGTGGAATTGTTCACATTCCGCAGGGTTTTGTTGAGTCAGAATTAAAACCTATTTGTTGAATGACGAAAGCGGAGTTTTTATCCATATATTGAGGTCTTCAAAGCGTCGAGCCTTCAATGAATCATATGAAAGTTAAAATTTGGTCGAAATCGGTGTTTCCTCAGTGAAATTTAGTTTTGATCAATGACACTGAGCCAGGTTTAATACATTTTGATGTCGAAGCGAACTGTAAAAAGGCATAAACGCGGAATTTAGCGGGTATTCAGATTGGTGGAATTGTGAGGGACAACAGGAAACGCGAGCAAAGAGCTGTGCTGATGTTTGCCGGGATATTTATATGGATATGTCGAGAACGAAACAGTGAAATGAATAACTGGTGAGTAGTATAGAATATCTTTTCACGAACTAAAGTAACACCCCGAATACTAGAAGGACTTTTTGCCTTTTGTAAGCCTTCAGTCTTTTTCCAGAAGCTTTTCACCTAAATCAAGGGTGAGTTGAATACAGAACGCGCGACAAGCGCAGTCATTTGTACTCGATAGCTTATACCTGGGCGTCTGATTTGGTTCGGTCCCTCCTTGAAGTATAATGTTTCAAAGGGAAATTGTCTCAGGTTGTAAAACGTAAATGTTAGGCTCGTGTCTACCAGAAAAGATAAAGAGTAAAGCGAAAGAATTCCAACCGAGATCCTGCAAAATCGAACGCTCATTCCAATTTGACTGTAGAGGTAAAGAAGGAAGAGGAGGACCCACTGGAAAATCTACGAAGTCGACTGAATTATGCAAAAGTATAGACGCGAATCTATTGCAAAACATCGTCAACGCAGAATGCGGACCCTCTTGAAGTTTTCCTTCAGTATTTTGAATTGGTGAAGCCGTCAGCTTTTGGTAATTTTCGATCTACTGTAACATCTAAAAGGACTCCCAGTCAGCCTAAAGTGAATCCATTACCGTATTTGGTTGAATTTGAATCACGGGAACAGCGGAGACCTCGAAAGAGGCAGATCTATGTAGAGGCAGCAGTAGACGGCCCCCATTTTGTTTACACTGGAAAAAAACTAACAGCTCAGATGAAATTCTTCACTTACGTTCCGCTAGGTAAGTTTTGTGGTGAAGACTGCACTTTTTTTGAATGGGGTTTCTAAGCAAAGTCGTATGGAGGTTTCTTGTGTTTCCAGTGACTCAGTTGTGTGGCTTAGTTCGGGGACTTTAGGCCATCCAGCAAAGTACGTTTTTTCTACAAGCGTATAAAATTAGCATTTTCTATTTGCAAAAATACTACAACGTAACTTCACGATTGGTTATGTTTTAAAAGAGGCAATCGGCAATCAGTGTAGATAGGCCCTTTGTTTTAATGTCGTTATATTCTGGATCACGACACATTTTGAATTCATTCGTTTTTGTTTTAGTTGTAACAAACAAACATTAACTACATTTTTTGTTAGACGGGACCATTCATAGAAATAAAAAGTTGTCTCTCTGGAACGGAAATAATGTATAACATACCTTGGTGTCTTCATCGTTTCAAATTATCTTTGACTCAACACACTGCATTTTAATTTCACTTAAATTAGCAAATTTTTCGGCATTTTGTCCAGATTGAAAAACTGCTTGTGCTGTGGGATTGCTGCAGTGGGGGCCAAGCTGCCAATCAAATTAAGAGAAAGTTTTGATTTTTCAATAACGTGCTCTCCGCACAAAATTTTTCAAACCCTTTACATTCCATCTTGTTCAACTTGTCAAATATTTTTCCTTTTCATCTTAATTGTTCAAAAACAATCTGCATTTTTATGCATGACTTCTTCAACAATGTAACACCTCCCCAGCATCTAAAAATTATTTAGATATTCTTCAGAAAACACACCATTTCAGAGTCCAGAGCAAAACATAAAATAAATTCCCTTTAATAACTTGATGCAAAGATTTGGAATGGTCTTACCATATGTCTTCGTTCTTTACCTAAATAAAAATTTAAAACAGTGTTACGAAATCAGCTATTAGACATTTTGATGCAAGAGGATTCCGTACTTTGATTGATAAATTTAGAAAATTATGATCTTTTTAGTTTCATTTATGTGGCGTGTTGCTAAGGAAACTAAATTTTGTTGTTGTTGTTATTGTTGGTCGATCCAAGGGGCTTTAACAACAATGTAAAAGAGCGCGGAAAAGAAAGCACCTTTTGGTAGTGTGCGATGCGACCAAAAAGGCTACTGTGCGTGAGAAAGAGGGCGGACATGGGAAAACAGAAACAAATTAATCGACAGTCAGCACCGCAAAACGGCACAGAGGGAAGATACCGATAACAATCTATTTACACTCGCATGTCACCCTCACAACCACGCAGCGAAATCTATCATTCTCAGAAACTTTAAATTACCTCAAAATAATTCAGAGACAGGTACTTTCTTCTACAATTTATAAAATTTAATTCAAACGTGACAAAAATACAGGTAACTTTTTGGTCAGAAATTCTTCACAAATTAGTGACCAACCTGGAGCTATCAAATGCGCTCGCGCACGATGCAAAACCTGTCTTTTCATTCATAGCATGGAGAAAATTTCGGGACCCAGCGACTTATCAATATTACTGATCACTTTACGCATACCTCCGCCAATGTTCACTTCTTGAGAAACAAGAAGACGACTAAGTGACCGAAGGGCAAGCACGCATCCAAACCAGTCGCTAAACACTTTAATCTCCCTATTCTTTCTTTGGAGCATATGGCAGTCTTCGGCCTCTCTTTACAACTAGGTAATTCGGAAAGCCTGGAGCATAAATTCATCTTTCAAATCGGCTCTCTTAATCCCAACGGTATCAACGAACGCTTTTCATTCAACTTATCTATTCTTGTTTTTCTCGTCACTATGTTCCCACCAACAGCGCAGCTCCATCTTCTGCATACAAACATACACATCCCAAAATTCATCCATTTATTTTGAGGAAAGCCTCACGCTCGAAACGTCAGCCTTGAAACTCTACGCTGGCTAATTAACATTATCAACTCGGTTGAAGAAACCAAATCAACCCGTATTAAGCTGTATTCAAGCCATTTCCATGAGTGACAGTTTAATACGGGTTCGACTGTCTTGTGTCTCCTAAAGGGAACACGTTTAAACGCTGTTAACCTTTACAATCGTAGAGAGTTCCTAAAAATGACGTTCAGAGCGTTAGCCCATCTAACGCTGGATGGTTAGATGGACTAGATGGTTAGAAACTTATAACAACAAAGTGTCTACAAAGAGTGTTAGTATGTGAGAGCGAAGTTCGAAGGTAAGGCAAGTATTAAAGTTGCTTTGCATTACTCGTCATGATTAGTCGTGTGTTAGTGAACACGGCTAGGAATTTGCATGTTGATTGAGACTTGTTATGGCTTCCCTGTGAAATTGCGTGTTGGTCCTAACAAATCATGTTTTCGACAGGAAATGAATACGTTCTGTGGCAAGGAAATTAGTCGAAAGATTTGGGGGCTAATGGTAAAGGTGGTAGGAGGTGAACTTCCAATGTGGCGGAACCACCATAAACCTGACCAACGTACGTATTTCGTAAAAAGTACTACAAATCGTGCGTCGTTGCGCCCAGCCTTTCATAGTGTCCTTTCACAGTCAAGCCTTTCACTCGGAGAGAACAAAAAGTCAACGCTTTCGAAAGGAGAGGATTTAAAAACGAGTAGATTGATTCAAGGGCGAACTGGCTAAGGCGGGGGTCCAACGGTGGTTAAGCGAACTTGCAATAGGGCGACACCACCAGTTACCGTTCAAAATATAATGCGAAATTCATGTACAATTGTTATCAATCAATAACGAAAGCATTTAGTTGATCAACCAAAATTGTAAATGCTGAAGGACAGCTCTAGACAATTTAAAACAAATTGCGTGTTTTCGATTCCGATCTTCAAGGCCAATTAAAGGACAGAATATCACGCATGTTTATAACTAAAAGAATAAAAATTGGAAAGGGGTGTTTTTTCCTGTGTGTAAGTGGTTGAAGGGATAAAAAACGCGCACGCATGTAAGCGGGACATACAACAGCGTGCAAGTAAGAAAACTCAAGATCACGCCACGAAGAAAAACGATCAAACCATTTACATATTCGGTAC